TAGCCAGACCTAACCTAATTTATCTTAACCTAACCTAACCTTGCCTTATCTAACCCCCATCAGGTAGCATTAGGGTGTTTATTCATCAGGTGAAGTAAACCAGGTGGGCTAATTATAATTATCAGGTGATAGATAATTCCCCTCATCCAGCGCTTCACCTCACAGTGCTTCTGCTTACACACACACACACACACACACACACGAGGACCCCATATGCTGTCTTCATCTCCTCCCCCACTGTCAGACCTCAACAAAGCTCCCATCCCATGGTGACATTCCTCCCCTACTTGTGGAGAAGTTTCCCCCAGAATTAACTCAACGCCTCTTAAGTCTCTCACAAGTTTCGTGTTCTGCCATTACTTTCCTCTTTTCCTGGATCTCTCTCTCTCTCTCTCGCATCGTCTCAAAAATGGTGTCTTCCTCTCGTGTTCTCTCTATATCTCTAAGTCTTTTATATCACACTTCAGTCATCCTCAGAATCATGAAGCTGATTATAATCTTTGTTATTTTGTAAAAGAAGTTGAATCTCAGTGTTCCAACGTGAGGTTGGTGATGGCCGCTACCAATGTCGTCTTCCTCTCACTTCCCACACAACTTTTGGTTTTCATGTCGGTAACTGCGGCAGTGGTGTTGTCCTCCCTCGTCCAGTGTGTCTGAAAACTTGGGGAGAATTTGGCTTAGGTATTCTTGTTCAGCTTCCCGTAGACTGTATCACTAACCTGTTGTTTTGTCTCCTGTCACTAATGTCGCGATCCCAATATCCTTTATACCTGGGTAGTGAAACCTACCCCAAGTTATTATCAAATAAAGGAACAAATAGGGAACACGGCAATAATTATCCCCACAAAAACCTACTCAACTAAATGTACTTGAATAAGTATGAACAAGTTGAAATAAGTAAGTCACAAAAGGGAAGATAATTAATTAATTCAATTTATCTTCTAAAGGGAGTACTGACTAGCAAACAAGAATTTAAGGGAATAAGTAATTGTATATTAAAATAAGAGTGATGCCGGAAGGGTGAAAATACACCGTAAGGAGTTAGACCAAACGAATATTACTTAACATAACTATATTACATAGACATACAATATATATACAATCCCTACAAAATAGTTATTTCCTACCAAACAGGAGATTCCTTACCACCAGGATCCCTTCCTAGGCCTAACTAAACGTGTCACTAATACCTGATACCCCTAGGGCATTGCAGAAGACTGGACAAGGCACTAGACAAGGGTCAAGGCTAGAGAACGAATGGACACGTCTACCATATGCCACGGTTTTTCGCTACTGGGGAAGCGTGGGGCACGCCGTGGAGGAGCGCGTCTCATATCACGTGATCCAGGACATTTGCTAGATATTTTATATAATTAATTAATACTACTCTTGATTTGACTTAACAGAGTAACACAATGATGCATATTAATAACATACATAAATATACAATTAACCTAAGTAACTAAGAACAATAATAATATAATAAGTACAATTAACAAGTTAATAGCTTGTGTGAAATGTAGGCGTGAACATATGCCTCACGCTATGCGAGTTCCCGAGTGCCACAGGCACGTGACACTAAGTATCCAGAGTGTGATGTCGGGACCACCACCTCGTTGTGTTCTTATCCTGACTCTATGGATTAACTTAACCTAAATATAACTTAACCTTAAGACTATATTAACCTAACCTAACCATACCTAGCACTATCCTTACCTTACCTTACCCAATCCAACTTAACCTAACCTAAGACTATGCTAACCGAACTTAACCAAACTTAACACTATCCTAACCTATCCTAACCTAACCTAACCACCGTAACACTATCCTAACCTAACCTAACCCCTCCAGGAAGCTTAGATGAAATAAGCTGTGGGGAGCTAAACTTTAGGTGACTCCTTTTCTCTCTTTCTCTCCTTCCTCTTCCTCATCATTTCCTTCCCCTTCTTTCCTCCCTCACCTTCCTCTCCCTCCTCTTCCTCCCTCTCCTTCGTTCCTCCTCTTCGTTCCTCCCTTCCCCTACTTCCCTTCTTCTCCCTCCATTTCCTCCCTCTTCTTCCTTCCACTTCTTCTCTTCCTCCCCCTTCCCTTCCTCTCTTCCCCCTCTCCCTATTCTCCCCTCCCCTTCCCCTCCCCCTTCCCCTTCACCCCCCCCTTCCCCCTCCCAGCCACCACACCTCACTGTCCATACAAGATAAGACGGGGCGCGGCTCCTCCCACACACTCAGTAGACCTTCTCTCTCTGTCTGTCTCGTCCCTCCTCTTTATTCCTTCCTTTCCTCTCCTCTTCCTCTCCTCTTTGTTCCTACCTCTCGTCTTTGTTCCTCCCTCTCCTCTTCCACTCCTCTTTGTTCCTTCCTCTCCTCTTTATCCCTCCCTCTCATCATCCTCTCCTCTCCCTCTCCTCTTCCTCTCCTCTTTGGTCCTCCCTCTCCTCTTATTTTCTTCCTCCTTCTCCTCTCCCCTTCCTCTCCTCTTTGTTACTCCCTCTCCTCTTCCTCGCCTCTTTGTTCCTCCCTCTCTTTGTTCCTCCCTCTCCTCTTTGTTTTTCTTTCTCCTCTTCCTCTCCCCTTTGTTCCTCCCTCTCCTTTTCTTCTCTTTACTCCTCTCTCTCCTCTTCCTCTCCTCTTTACTCCTTACTTCAGTTTTCTCCCACTCCTCTTCCCTCCTCTCTTACTCTCCTCTTTATTCCACCTTCTCCTCTTCTTATTCTCTCTACAACCTTCGCCACTCCTCCTCTCCTCTTTTACTCCCTCCTCATCTCTTCCTCCTCTTCTACTCCTCCCTCACCTCCTACTCTCCACTCCTCCTCTCCTCTTTTACTCCTTCCTCATCTCTTCCTCCTCTTCTACTCCTCCCTCACCTCCCACTCTCCACTCCTCCCTCTCCCCTTTTACTCCTTCCCCATCTCTTCCTCCCTCTTCCCCACTCCTCCCTCACCCTCCCACTCTCCACTCCTCCCTCTCCCCTTTTACTCCCTTCCCCCATCTCTTCCTCCTCCTTCTACTCCTCCCCACCTCCCACTCTCCACCCTCCCTCTCCTCTTTTACTCCTTCCCTCATCTCTTCCCTCCTCTTCTAATTCTCCCCACCTCCTACTCCCTCCTCCTCTCCTCTTTTTACTCCTTCCTCATCTCTTCCTCCTCTTCACTCCTCCCTCACCTCCTCCTCCTCTCCTCTTTTACTCCCTCCTCATCTCTTCCTCCTCTTCTACTCCTCCCTCACCTCCTACTCTCCACTCCTCCTCTCCTCTTTTACTCCTTCCTCATCTCTTCCTCCTCTTCTACTCCTCCCTCACCTCTTACTCTCCACTCCTCACCTCACTGGGCAGGTAGAACAATAACCTCTGGGTGAACAGAATAACACGAGTTATTTCTGGTGATTTTTTTAGGTGTTTTTATTGTCGTCATATTCGCATTCTATCATTTTATCCAACCTAACCTAACCTAACCTAACCTAACCTAACCTAACCTAACCTAACCTATCCTAACCTAGCCTAACCTAACCTAAACAACCTTGTATTCCTCTTATGTGTTACAGGGAATTTGTCTAACCAGTAATATGTAATTAATGTTAGGTTAGGTTAGGTTTCAGGGGTTTCATGAAATCACTGGTTACACAAATTCCCTGTAACACATACATACAGTACATTTATTAGTTTATTATTATTTATTTATTTTATTTATTTATTTATTTGTCCTTATTTATTTATTTATCATTGGTTGGTTATTTATTAAGTTATTGGAGAATGAAAACGAAATATTTATATACGAATGCTCTTTGATACTCGACATACATGCTCACTGACACTCTATACACATGCTCCCTGACACTCGATACACATGTTCCCTGACACTCGACACACATGCTCACTGACATTAGACACACATGCTCCCTGACACTCGACACACATGCTCCCTGACACTCGACACACATGCTCCCTGACACTCGACACACATGCTCCCTGACACTCGACACACATGCTCCCTGACACTCGACACACATGCTCCCTGACACTCGACACACATGCTCCCTGACACTCGACACACATGCTCCCTGACACTCGACACACATGGAAGTTGTATAGAAAAAAATTTTTTTTTTTTAGCCGTTTAGATTTTTCATTTATTTATTTATTTATTTTTTTTTTAGGGCAATTCTCTATACCGTTCTTTACAAAGTGTGTCCCGAGTTTGATGCAGGATTACCTCGTGAACATTTTTTAGCGCTGGATGCAGTCAGGAAACTCACACCAGCGACCATAACTCCCGCCACGTTTAGTAACATTTGTTATATAGTCTGTATTTCTAGGTCACATTCCTTCATTAGTCTGTAGATAATAATGTTGTTTTATTTTAGTATAACAAAAAATATAATTAAAACACACCGATATTTTACAAAGAAACTCAATGAAGATACATGTTTAAATAGTTAGGTTAGGTTAGGGTGAGTTAGGTTTATGTTAGCCAAAGTTAGGTTTGTATTGGGTTGAGTTAAGTAAGGTTAAGGTATGTTAGCGTTAGGGTGGTTAATATTCACGTGATCCGTTGACTTGTTAAGAGGGTGAAGTGTTGTAGAGGAATGAGGTGACTGAGGTGAGCGGTGAGATGACTGAGGTAGGAGGTGAGGGGTGAATTGACTGAGGGAGGAGGTGAGACTGAGGTGACTGAGGGAAGTGAAGGGTGAGAGTGAGATGTGGTGATTGAGGGATGAAAGTGAGAGGGAAGGTGTGAGGGTGAGGTGACTGAGGGAGGAACTGAGAGATGAGGAGTGAGAGTGAGCTGACTGAGGGAGGAACTAAGGGGTGAGGTGGGGTGACTGAGGGAGGAACTAAGGGGTGAGGTGGGGTGACTGAGGGAGGAACTGAGAGGTGAGGAGTGAGAGTGAGCTGACTGAGAGAGGATTTAAGGGGTGAGATGTGGGTGACTGAGGGGTGAGGTAGGGTGACTGAGAGAGGAGTGAAAGTATCGCCACTAACTGAGGTCTTCTCCACAGACTGCGGGGGCTGCAACATGAAGTTCTCTCACCCACTCTACTACCGGATGCATTGTTCTGTCTTCCACGACCCTAACTACTCTCTCACCATCCGCAAGTACCACTGCAAGGTAACTAACTACCCCCACTGCTTGTTAACACTACTCTCATCAACGCTACTCCAAGGTAACTACTTCCCTTCCTGCCTAACTATTATGACATCTGCTGTACTGTCATCATCACTAATTATAAAGCTAATGACTCCAGGTGTATTTTACATTATTCTCATTATCATTACGAAAATGTAACTACTCTAATGACTATTATAACTAATTTCACCATCACTAATTAGAGCCTAACTCTCTTTATGTTAGCAAGTTAGTTTAATTTTCTTTACAGTAACGTAACTACACGAGTATGCTAATTAAGATGAACTACTGTCATTTTAAATACCATCATTATCATTATCATTAAAATGTAAACACAATATGTATTAACTATTTCATCTTTCCCACTCTACTGAGTTTTATCAAAGGTAAGTTTAGGATTAGCTTAGGTTAAGTTACGTTACGTTACGTTAGTTTATTTTATATTAGTTTAGTTTAGTTTAGTTTAGTTTACGATTAGGTTAATTATTTTAAAATTAGGCTAAGTTATGTTAACTTAGGTTTTTTACAGAGATAGCCCGCGGGCTAAGTCATCTTTCCACCCATCGGGGCCTGGGAGAAGCCAAGTGTAATAATAATATTAATAATTCAGATAAGTAAAATTTACAATAAAAGAAATTAATGATAATAATAATAATAATAATAATAATAATAATAATAATAATAATAATAATAATAATAATAATAATAATAATAATAATAATAATAATAATAATAATAATAATAATAAAGAACCATAAAGAAATACAAAAATAAAAAAGATCAAGAGTGAGAAACAATATATGCATGTTGTGTTGTCAATGGTAAGAGAAACAATTGAGACCCTGCAATTGTGTGTAAATGAGGCAGAAAGTCAGTTCAGCAACCTGGGACTTGGTCACAATTTTCGTGATGCCATATGGCAGCAGGGTCTACCATTAGACAACACATTATGTTCCAATATCTTCCCAGGCGGTAGTACCTCCCTGTTTGGTAGCTGCCGACTACCTAGGTTAGGTTAGGATTAGGATTTACTTAGTTTAGGACTAGGTTAGTTTAGTTTAGGTTTAGGTTATGGTACTTAAGGCTGGTTTAGTTTAGGATTAGGTTAGTTAGTTTAGGATTAGGTTATGTTACTTAAGGCTGGTTTAGTTTAGGATTAGCTTAGTTAGTTTAGGATTAGGTTATGTTACTTAAGCTGGTTTAGTTTAGGATTAGGTTGGTTTAGTTTAGGTTTGGGTTATGGTACTAAGGCTGGTTTAGTTTAGAATTGGGATTAGTTAGTTTAGGATTAGGTTATGTTACTTAAGGCTGGTTTAGTTTAGGATTAGCTTAGTTAGTTTAGGATTAGGTTATGTTACTTAAGGCTGGTTTTAGTTTAGGATTAGGTTAGTTAGTTTAGGATTAGGTTATGTTACTTAAGGCTGGTTTGGTTAGGATTAGCTTAGTTAGTTTAGGATTAGGTTATGTTACTTAAGGTTAGTTTAGTTAGGTTACATTAAATATATATTCAGGGTCACTCTTAAACCTCTTTTATCTTAAGGGATGAGAACCGTTCATATAAACAAGGAAGGTAACTAGAGCCCTCCTCCCTCCCCACCAGCAGGAAGAGTTGCCCCTCCTCCTCCTCCCTCCCCACCAGCAGGAAGAGTTGCCTCCTCCTCCTCCCCTCCCCACCAGCAGGAAGAGTTGCCCCTCCTCCTCCTCCTCCAGTGGGAAGGTTGCCTTCCTCCTCCTCCTCCCCCACCAGCGGGAAGGTTGCCCTCCCTCCTCCTTCCTCACCAGCAGGAAGAGTTGCCCATCCTCTTCCTCCCTCCCACCAGCAGGAAGGTTGCCCCTCCTCCTCCCTCCCCCAGCAGCAGGAAGAACTGCTCCTCCTCCTCCTCCTCCTCCTCCCTTCCCGAGCAGCAGGGAAAAGTTCCTCTTCCTCCTCCTCCTCCCATGACCCAGCGGGAAGAGTTCTCCTCCTCCTCCTCTATCCCCCAACGGCAGGAAGGAGTTGCTCCTCCTCCTCCTCCTCCTCCCCAGCAGCAGGAAGAGTTCTCTTCCTCCTCCTCTCCTCCTCCCCCCCAGCGGGAAAAGTTGCTCCTCCTCCTCCTCCTCTCCTCCCTCCTCCTCCTCTTCCTCTCTTCCCACCCCAGCAGCAGGAAGGAGTTGCTCCTCCTCCTCCTCCTCCTCCTCCTCCCTCCTCCTCCTCCTCCTCCTCCTCTCCTCCTCCCCCAACAGCAGGAAGACTTGCTCCTTCTCCTCCCTCCTCCTCCCTCCCCCAGCAGCGGAAGGTTGCCTCCTCCTCCTCCCTCCCCCAGCAGCAGAAACTTGCTCCTTCTCCTCTCCTCCTCCTCCCTCCCCAGCAGCAGGAAGAGTTGCCCTCCTACTCCTCCTCCTCCTCCTCCTCCTCCTCCTCCCTCCCAGCAGCAGGAAGTTGCTCCTCCCTCCTCCTCTCCTCCCCCAGCAGCAGGAAGAGTTCCTCCTCCTCCTCCTCCTCCTCCCCCCCACACAGCAGCAGAAGGTTGCTCTCCTCCTCCTCCTCCTCCCCTCCCCCCCCCCGCAGCAGCAGAAAGTTGCCCCTCCTCCTCCTCCCCCCCTCCCCAGCAGCAGGAAGTTGCTCCTCCTCCTCCTCCTCCTCCTCCTCCTCCTCCTCCTCCTCCTCCTCCTCCCTCCCCAGCTGCAGGAAGAGTTGCCCCTCCTCCTCCTCCTCCTCCTCCCTCCCAGCAGCAGGAAAAGGTTGCTCTCCTCCTCCCTCCTCCTCCTCCCTCCCCCAGCTGCAGGAAAGGGTGCCCCTCCTCCTCCTCCCTCCCTCCCCAGCAGCTTGAAGGGTGCCCCTCCTCCTCCTCCCTCCTCCCTCCCCTCCCCCCTAGCAGGAAGGTTGCACCTCCTCCTCCTCCTCCCTCCCCCCCACCAGCAGAAAAGTTGCCCCTCCCTCCTCCTCCCTCCTCCCTCCCCCCAGCAGGAAAAATTTGCACCTCCTCCTCCCTCCCTCCCTCCCCCAGCAGCAGGAAGAAGTTGCACCTCCTCCTCCTCCTCCTCCTCCTCCCTCCCCCCAGCACAGGAAGAGAATTGCCCCTCCCTCCTCCTCTCCTCCTCCCTGCCCCAGCAGCAAGAGTTGCTCCTCTCCTCCTCCTCCTCTTCCTCCTCCTCCTCCTCCTCCCTCCTCCCTCCCCAACTTGCTCAGTTTGCTCCTCCTCCTCTACCTCCTCCTCTTCCCTCCTCCTCCCTCCCTCCTCCCTCCTCCCTCCCCCCAGCCAGGAGAGTGCACCTCCTCTCCTCCCTCCTCCCTCCCAGCAGCAAGGAAAAGTTGCACCTCCTCCTCCTCTCCCTCCCAGCAGCAGGGATTTGCTCCTCCTCTCCTCTCCTCCTCCTCCTCCTCCAGCAGCAGGAAAGTTGCTCCTCCTCCTCCTCCTCCCTCCTCCCTCCTCCTCCTCCTCCCTCCTCCAACAGCAGGAAGAGTTGCTCCTCCTCCTCCTCCTCCTCCCTCCCCCCAGCAGCAGGTTGCTCCTCCTCCTCCTCCTCCTCCCTCCCTCCAGCAGCAGGAAGGTTCCTCCTCTCCTCCTCCTCCTCCTCCCTCCCCAGCTGCAGGAAAAGTTGCCCCTCCTCCTCCTCCTCCCTCCCCCACAGCAGGAAAGGATTGCTCCTCCTCCTCCTCCTCCTCCCTCCTCCAGCAGCAGGGAAGAGTTGCTCCTCCTCCTCCTCCTCCTCCTCCTCCTCCTCCCCTCCCCCCAGCAGTAGGAATAGTTGCTCCTCCTCCAGCAGCAGGAATTGATCCTCCTCCTCCCTGCCCCAGCAGCAGGAAAGTTGCCCTCCTTATCTACTCCTCCTCCCTCTCCTCCTCCTCCTCCCTACTCCTCCTCCTCCCTCCCTCAGCAGCAGGAAAGAGTCCCTCCTCCTCCTCCTCCTCCTCCTCCTCCTCCTCCCTCCCCAGCAGCAGGAAAGTTGCCCCTCCTTATCTCTCCTCCTCCTCCTCTCCCTCCTCCTCCTCCTCCTCCTCCCTCCCTCCCCCAGCAGCAGGAAGAGTTGCCCCTCCTCCTCCTCCTCCTCCTCCTCCTCCTCCTCCTCCCTGCCCCAGCAGCAAAGTAACTCCTCCTCTTCCTCCTCCTCCTCTTCCTCCTCCTCCTCCTCCTCCTCCTCCTCCCTCCTCCTTGCAGGGACAGTTGCTCCTCCTCCTCTTCCTCCTCCTCTCCCTCCTCCTCCTCCTCCTCCTCCTCCCTCCCCCAGCAGCGAGAGTGTTGCTCCTCCTCCTCCTCTCCTCCTCCTCCTCCCTCCTCCCTTCCCCAGCAGCAGGAAAGGATTGCCCCCTCCCCTCCCTCCTCCTCCTCCTCCCTCCTCCCTCCCCCAGCAGCAGGAAGAGTTGCTCCTCCTCCTCCTCCTCCTCCCTCCTCCTCCTCCCTGCCCCAGCAGCAAGAAGAGTTGCTCCTCCTCTTCCCTCCTCCTCCTCTTCCTCCTCCTCCTCCTCCCTCCTCCTCCCTCCCCAGCAGCAAGAAGTTGCTCTTCTCTTCCTCCTCCTCCTCTTCCTCCTCCTCCTCCTCCTCCTCCTCCTCCCCTCCCCAGCAGCAGGAAGTGTTGCTCCTCCTCCTCCTCCTCCTCCTCCTCCTCCTCCTCCCTTCCCCAGCAGCAGGAAGAGTTGCCTCCTCCTCCTCCTCCTCCTCCTCCTCCCTCCCCAGCTTAGGAAAGTTGCTCCTCCTCCTCCCTCCTCCTCCCTCCTCCCTCCCTCCCCAGCAGCAGGAAGGTGCCCCCATCCTCCTCCCCTCCTCCTCCTCCTCCCCTCCTCCTCCCTCCTCCTCCTCCTCCCTCCCCTCCTCCTCCTCCCTCCTCCTCCCTCCCCCAGCCAGGAAAAGTTGCTCCCTCCTCCTCCTCCTCCTCCTCCTCCTCCCTCCTCCTCCCATTCCCCCAGCAAGAAAGTTGCTCCTCCTCCTCCTCCTCCTCCTCCCTCCCTCCCCAGCAGCAGGAAGAGTTGCTCATCCTCCTCCTCCTCCTCTCCTCCCTCCCCCAGCAACAGGAAGATTGCCCCCTCCTCCTCCTCCTCCTCCCTCCCTCCCCAGCAGCAAGAAGAGTTGCTCTCGTCCTCCCTTCTCCTCCTCCCTCCCCAGCAGTAGGAATAGTTCCTCCTCCTCCTCCCTCCCCCAGCAGCAGGAAGAGTTGCCTCCTCCTCCTCCTCCTCCTCCCCCCCCAGCAGCAAGAAGATTGCTCCTCGTCCTCTTCCTTCTCCTCCTCCCTCCCCAGGTAGGAATAGTTCCTCCTCCTCCCTCAGCAGCAGGAAGAGTTGCTCCTCTTCCTCCTCCACCTCCTCTCCCTCCGCAGCAGCAGGAAAATGGTCCCTCCTCCTCCTCTCCTCCTCTCCTCCCTCCCTCCTCCTCCTCCTCCTCCTCCTTCCCCAGCAGCAGAAAGAGCTGCTCCTCTTCCCTCCTCCTCCTCCCCTCCTTCCCTCCTCCTCCCTCCCCCAGCAGGAAGAGTTGCTCCTCCTCCTCTTCCTCCTCCTCCTCCCTCCCCAGCAGCAGGAAGAGTTCCTCCTCCCTCCTCCCTCCCCTCCCAGCAGCAGGAAGAGTTGCTCCTCTTCCTCCTCCTCCTCCTCCTCCCCTCCCCGCAGCAGCAGGAAGAATGGCCCCTCCTCCTCCTCCCTCCTCCTCCCTTCCCCCCAGCAGCAAAGCTGCTCCTCTTCCTCCCTCCTCCTCCCCTCCTTCCCCCTTCCTCCCTCCCCAGCAGCAGGAAGAGTTGCTCCTCCCTCCCCTCCCTCCTCCTCCCTCCCCAGCAGCAGGAAAACTGCTCCTCTTCCCCTCCTCCTCCCCTCCTTCCCCTCCTCCTCCCTCCCCCCAGCAGCAGGAAGATTGCTCCTCCTTCTCCTCCTCCCTCCCCAGCAGGAAGAAAAGTTCCTCCTCCTCCTCCTCCTCCTCCTTCCTCCCCAGAAGCAGGAAGAGTTGCTTTTCCTCCTCCCTCCCCAGCAGCAGGAAGGTTGCTCCTCCTCCTCCTCCCTCCCCCAGCAGCAGAAGAGTTGCTCCTTCTCCCTCCCAGCAGCAGGAAAAGTTGCTCCTCCTCCTCTTCCTCCTCCGTCCCCAGCAGCAGGAAGAGTTTCTCCTCCTCCTCTTCCTCCTCCCTCCCCAGCAGCAGGAAGAGTTGCTCCTCCTCCTCTTCCTCATCTTTCCCCAGCAGCAGGTAAGAGTTGCTCCTCCTCCCTCCCCCAGCAGCAGGAAGAGCTTCCTCCTCCTCCTCCTCCTCCTCCTCCTCCTCCTCCTCCTCACTCCCGAGAGAGTTTCCTTCCTTCCTCCATCATCCAAACACTTTCCTAGCGTCTACTATCATCCTTCATCCCTCCCTAGCAGTAACAGGTAAAAGTCCTCCCTCTCCCAGCATTAAACAACACCTCTCCTCCCTCCTAACAACAGCAGCAGCCAACACCCCCCCTCCTTCCCCAGCAACAGCAGCAGGCAACAACCCCCTCCCTTCCCAACAACAGCAGCAGCCAACACCTCCTTCCCCAGCAACAGCAGCAGGCAACACCCCTCCTCCAGCAACAGCAGCAGGCAACACCCCTCCTTCCCCAACAACAGCAGCAGCCAACACCCCCCTCCTTTCCCAGCAACAGCAAACACCTCCCCTTCCACCCCAGCAACAGCAGCAGCCAATACCCCACTCCTTCCCCAGCAACAGTAGCAGCCAACACCTGTCTCAGCAACAAGTCACCTAACCTCCAGTTACTCTTCAGACAGCAGTAGTAACTAACGCTCCTCTCGGCAGGTGTGCGGTCTGGCGGTGCTGGGCAAGGAGAACATCATGCGGCACGCGGCCGAGCAGCACGAGGGACGCGGCGCCTACCAGTGTCAGTACTGCAAGAAGGTAGGTGGTGCTTGACCTGCACGCTCACCTGCATGACACTCGTCTAGTGCTTCAGCCGCTACACCTCACACGCCACCTGCCGCGGGGACACCCACCACCCATGCCTACACTACAGCCCCGCTGGCCACAACTGGTAAAAGTAACTCCCTGGAATAATGAAGTGCTGCGTTACTTATGGGTTACATGTTCAAGTTATAATTGAACTTGTAATCAAGAGCACTGGCTGCCCGTGTAGTGACTCACGCTTCCTACGTATTTTTCCCACAAGGAATTGTGTTAAGGGAAGACACTAACTCGCTTATACAGAGCTCCTCACATCACTGACTCAAAAATTATTCTGCCCTTCGTTCTCAGTTACTTACTTAACACTAATTAGTGTACAGGGCTCACTGCTGCTGTGTCATGTATTTAGTCAACTGAATGTAAGAAGAATTATCATATGACAATTTGAACTACCATATTAAGTTGTTGTTCAAGCTAATTTGGGTAGTTGAAGGAAAGGAACCCAAACTGTGAACTACTGTGCAGGGTATGACATTGAATCTCGTGTATAACACAAGGGTCTGCTGGACGTCACCATGGTGGATTTGTCGCCCTGTGACCCTGCTAAGTGAGTTACGAGGGTGTACCTCATAACCTGTCAGGGGTGATCTGGGAGGTCCTGGTTACTAATGTTTCAGTTCCCTTCCTCCACCACCAATGGGACACAGGTAAACCAGTAAACCTCACCGGGATGAACTGTGATCCTCGCCAGTGTGGTGAGTCTTTCACCCCGGCAGTTGGTCGCCATGGTGAGTTATACAGATGGTAGAGGCTTCACCTGCCAAGTACTCGAGCACTATGTGTTAACGATAATTGTTCAATACAGATATTTAGTAGCTGTAAAGCTAGTACGCCAGAATGCTTCAGACAGACGCACCATTGGGCTAAGGGTAATATAGGACATCTTAAATAAAACAACATTGCAAGAAACAGTTAGAAGGTTGATGACCCTAACAAGGACAGCTAGTCGATGCTTTTAACGAGTCCGTTGGTAACTTGTTACAGCTCCGAGATGTCTGGTTCACACAACCACTAGCAAGTCCCTGTACTGTTTACATACAACAAATATTTGGTGATGTGTAGAAACCCACTGCTGTGTCTACCATGAAAATTAAAGATAGCTTGAAGAAATATGGAGTATGACACCAGAAAGATACTACTGACCAGAGACTCCTGAAGGAAGAGTTATGTTGACAGTTGAAGCGAGTTTAAAGTAAGCGAGGTGTCTGGGAGCCTCTATGTCCCTTTTGGAACTTGTATAAGAAACAAGCATTAGCGATTCACTTCTTCCTGTGTGTCTCAGTGGACGCCAGGGACCCAGGGACGAGTTCAGCATTTTCTGTTCTCAGATGTTGTACAGCACATGTTATTTTTATTGTGATTGTGTATGAAAAAATTAAATAGCAAAAGAATGAATTACGCGATAACTAATTTTATCTTTCATTACATATCTATGAACATGTTTGTTATTAACAACTCGTGGTTGTTCATGAATTACAGTTTGCACATCGTACATCAGATAGAGAAATGTGTGTGTCATGAGCAGTACACGAGGCTGGTGTAGCAGTGTTGCGTGGTGGGCGTCCCCTCGTCAGGTAGGTCTTGTCCTCTCGTTATCAGACTCAAGTTGACCATCTGTCACTACCGGATTAATAGCAGCAATTTTATGATAAACATTTTATTCATTCTATTGTTTTTGTTTTTTTAACCACCAAAGGATGAAACTAATGTTAGAGCTTTCGACCACTTTTTTAGATGCGCAAAAAACCTCCTCCATCACTTAGTCATATTTTAAATTTAGAGAATAAAAAAAAATAAAAGACCCTTACTAATTCGCATAAGACACTTAAAATCCACTATTATTCCCATTTTATTACACATACAAATAAATAAATAAAGGAAAATATTTTCTCTAGAGTAAACATAGACGATGGATGCCTTATAGTGAACACAGCTACTACGGCGGCAGACAGATGATCGGCTCCGGCACTAATAGCATGTAGTCACCTGCTGCACGACGCATGATGGTCTAGTTGTTTGTGCATGTTGCATGGCCAATGTGCACGCCCACACCCCCGCCCGTTTCCCAGCCCGAACTCCAACCCTCCACGCCCGCACCACCACAAGCCCCACGCCCACTCACAGAGAGGGACGGAGGGGAGGGGGGAATGTTCTTCAGGGGTTGTCTCTCCAGTTCTACAAGAAATTATTATTATTATTATTTATACCAGTTATTATTTATTATATCTGGTTAACGTCTTTATGTTTATATTTTTAGTATTATTTGTTGTCTACCTGTGTGTGGTAAGCCAAGAAGATGTTATAATCTTCAGGCAAACTCTTCAACTTTTTTTCTTTAAATTCAGGCATCTGCTTGCTTTCTTCTTCAAGTTTTCATTTTCCACCTTGTTTCTTGAGCTGTATATTAGATCTTTGTTAGGTCTGGTTGTGACTGACTCCGTGATGGTATACATACAGTACTATACAGAAGGAGTCAGTCATCTATACTATTACCGAGACTCACGGTAACTGTTGTATGTAAACTCTTCTTTCGTTAACTTTAGTTCCACCCGCTAAAACTGTCGGTGCTGAACTGCCGAAGGTAGTGGACCAACTATTAGAAATTATTGATCTGTCAGGGGAAAAAGATATCAGAACTGAATTGTCAGTGCAGAGAGCATAAACTTGTTCTGTCAGGGAAAACCTGTCGGAAGTGAATTGACAGAAAGCTTAAGCAAATCTGTCAGTACTTAACCTTTAAAGCTGTATGGTTACTACTCCAGTCTTTAAAGAGTTTAACCGTCAGCACATCTTTAGTGTTTAATGTTGATGTATCCAGCAGCAGACACGTGAATTAGTTAGTGTCTGAGGAAGCTAGTGCTCAGCCTCCTGGTCTAGTGATGTGAGTCCTCTTATTCATACAGTGACTCATACCTTCTGTCATCCATGTTTTTATAATTAGATACTTTTTGACTTCTGGAATATTTGGACTACTTATTATTATTATTATTATTATTATTATTATTATTATTATTATTATTATTATTATTATTATTATTATTATTATTATTATTATTATTATTATTAATATTGTTTCTCTTATCTTGAACGTTTTGTGTTATTGAAGATTGGAATTTACTCCTTTAAGTCTTTTAGATGTCTGACCTAATGTAGTTTTTGGTTGGTCCTTGATTACTCTTTGACTGGTCCTTGTTTGGCCTTTGGTTGGTGTTTTGTTGGTCTTTTTGGGTCTTTTGGTTGACCTTTGTTTGGTTTTTATTTGGCCTTTTGGTAGGTCTTTGTTTGGTCCTTTGGTTGGTCTTTGTTTGGTCTTTTGGTTGGTATTGTTTGGTGTTTTGGTTGATCTTTCTTTGGACCTTGTTTAGTCTTTTGGTTGGTCTTGTTTGGTCATTTGGTTGGTCTATGTTTGATCTTTAGGCTCGTCTTTGTTTGGTCATTGGTTAGCCTTGCTTCATTATATCAAGAGAAGACACATTGCCTAACCACTGTTTAAACAATAATCTGGGTAACATCCTGGCTTTACAAGATCTTCAGTAGATTTCTTGTTATAAGGAACTAAAAGAACACAGTCGAAGTTGGTCATGATAATATTAAGGCTATGAGAATCTTAGTTAAAGTGCCCCCACAACCATGCATGTTTGAGAAATTATTTTGATAGTTATGAATTATTATTACTATTATCAGCTAACGATGATCCCAAAGTGATTATGATCGATAATTGCTCGTGATTATCATAACACGACCCCTTGTTTATTAATTAAAGATTCTAAAAACAACAACAAAGTGATTTTACTAGTTTAGGATGATTATTTTTATTAGTAGTTGCCATGAGCTCAGAAAGAATTTTAAATTTTTTTAAGCACGGATGATAAGATTAAGGATGATATTAATTATTTTATTAATGATCTGATTAATGTTATGAGATCTGGTTAGTATATTAGATCAATTCTTAAAATTTATATAGAATTAATTATTTTGATAACTTAGCTATAAGATTTTTATATAGTGTTTTTTTATTATTAATAGCCTGGTTATGAATGGCTGCTCCTCACTCCATTAGAAAGTAAACGGAGTATTAGTAATGACTTGTACTTGAGGTGTTATTAGTGAGCGGAGGACCACAAGGTACAATAAGACTGTCTTGATCACCACTCGTTCCCCTTGACTACCTTTAACCTACAGTTGCTCATATGGTTGAAAACAAACAAAGGGAAATCTTGAAGTATTGTATTTCAAACTTAAGTAATATTAACACCTCACTTAGTCAGTCTGTAGTGAGGTATGGAGAGAAGTAACACAAAGTAGAAAGCATTACAAATAATTCTAAACAAGATAAAGTAATACGAGAGAAGATATTAAAACCAGGTTGTGACAAAATAGAAAATGAAAACGAGATACAGTGATTTACATTAAATACAGTAGCGTTAAAACCTAACCTAACCAACTTTAGACAAAATATGCATATAAAGAATTAAAATCTGTCTGAAATGAACTAAACATAGACAATATTTATACCAGGTTTAATTAAATTGAAGTGCATCATGGAGAATATTACAAATGGTTTGAGATAAAATTGAGTAACATTTAAAATTCATAAAAACAACTCTTGAATTAAATTAAAATAAAACATGTAAAACATTAATGATCTAGTGAGACAAATTTGCCAGAGAACACAGTTGGCCTGAAACGTTTCCTCTGCCTTAACAGAGCAGAAACAACTTTACTCTGATGTCATTATCCTCTGTTAAATTTCTTTCTTTCAGTAGAAAATTCAGCTGGAAAACTGGGCATAGACAAAATAATTCATATAACAAGAGATTTACTATAAAGCAAAGTTATTACAGGATACTCAACTGTCATCAGAACATTTTGTATAAACAGATACAATATTTGTTTACTGTAGTTTAGTTCTTGATGTTCAATGTTTCCTTCAGGCA